TGTAAAAAAACAAATTTTCAGAAAGTTGAAAATCTCCATATAATGCTTAAACAGGTTGCTAATTAATATACTATTTACTTTAACTACAAATATTAACTATAATAATTAAAAACTATACAAATTTTTATTAATATAAACTATTTGATGCAAGCATCCAAGTTATATATCAATATTTCATAGTATGGGATATCGAAAAACATACGTAATTAAGATAAACCTATCAAAAAAAATCAATTTAAATTTTTTTATACTTCAAATTCACAATAATTTAAAGTTCTATATTAATATTACTATTAATTGCTAATCTCAATATAATTTCCTTAATAAAATCATAGTAAATTTTGAAAATAAGTTCCATATAAAATTTTACTATATGCTAAAATCTAACAAGAATCACTATGATAAATAATTTTTTTACTAGTTAATATTACATTAGCTTCTAATAAAAATTGTAAAAAAGATAAATGCGGTTCTAATGGTGGTTGAATCGCAAAATTATTCCAGTAGATATTGATAAAAATGTCTTAAAATTTTTTAAAAAATTTCATATAATCGCGAAGACATTGTTATCAATACCTCATGATCTACTGGTCTAATTTTAGCGATTCAACCGCCATTAGAACCGCATTTATCTTCTTTACAATTTTTATTAGAAGCTAAAGTAATATTAACTTAGTAAAAAAAATCACATATCATAGTGACTCTTGTTAGATTTCAGCACATCATTAAGATTATCGGATCAGCAATTAAAACATATTTTATTATAAAATCATTAAAGGACTTTTGAACAAAAGTTTAAAACTTTTATTTAAATGATCCCAACAATGCATCTAAATCAGTGGTAGAATCAAGAATATTGTCCACAGTCATAACGTGATCATCCCCACTTATTATAGGTGCTAAGTTATCTGTTACTTCTAATTCGTTATTAGTTATTAATGGTAACGTAATATTCAGATCTACCTGATTTAAATTATTACTGCCATCATCATTTCCCAATGTTGATGAGAAGTCAATTTCGTTTAACAACATATCTATGCCATTGGAGGTAAAATCATTATTGTTTGTCGAAAGGTTATTCAGAATCTCATCGAATTGTGATAAATCCGTTATTGCTTCATTTTTTTCGACAGGCGATGTAAAAGTAAGATCATTATTGCTTTTAAAAGGATTTAGATCAAATGAGGGATCACCTGAGATTGATGGAAGGAACTCTATGTCGTTGGTCCCACTATTTCGAATCTCTGAATCAGAGGCTAGAGCTGTCTGTTCATCATTTTGCACAATAAATTTTGAGATATCCTCTGTTTCGAATGGATACGTGCACTATATGAAAAAAAAATTTTTTATAAGTATCGTGCTTAATAAGTCTCATAAAGTTACAGTAGTATTACTAACCGATTCATTAATACACATCAATAGATCTGAAGTTAAATTAATATGAAAATTTGAAACTTTGGAGGAACATAATGGACATTGAATTTCCTCCGTTTGAGGCATTATTCAAAGCTTTAAAATACGAGTAGTAGTACAGTAGTAGCCAAATTATTTGAAAGATACAACTCAAATAAGTAAGCAACTGATAATGCCATATACTATATACCATATTTATATCCTAACTTATCGTTATCGTTATTGTTAGAGTATACCGTACGTATGAGATATATAAGACGTAAATTTTCTTACCCCAGCATCACCGTAAAAAAATCTTCCCCTGTATCGCCACCAAAAATTTTCACGCTCACGTGATAGATCTACCAATCAAATCTTCCCATGCATCACTACCAAAATTTTCACGCACACGTGGTAGATCTACCAATCAAATTGCGGTACTGGACGTGCAAAAAAATTTTGTAAGTGTACGTTCTTGGGACCGAACTTTTACGAAGTGCAATTAGAGAACAATAAGAAAAAGTGCACTTATGGAAGTCATGTATATATTTGGGCCTGAACTTAAGCGTGCATTTAGAGAAGGTGTGCACTTATTGAGGGTGCGCTTATGGAGGGTTTCACTGTACAATTTTCTTCGAACGATAAAATTATACGTACACGAATAATGTGGTTAAAGAATTTAAGTATATTTTTTATTACTTATTTTGTTTACATTATTGAATTTACAAAAGTAATAAATAAATAAATATATATTAATTTTTATGCCATTTTGTAGGCGGCAAGAACATAGTTTACATTGAGAGCAATAAAAAAAAGATTTTTTTTTAGTTTTATCGATTAAGTTGGATTAAATTAAACATATAATAAAAGAACTGATTATACCTATGAATTATTTGAAATAACGTGTATTTTTGGTGAGATCTTTTCAAGTTAACGGTAAGGTTTTTTTCTGTTTATATTTTTCTATTTCTTCAACCATTTCATTGATGGGACCAAAATTCTTTTTTATGTTTTTAACCCATTGAGCATTGTCAAATTTCTTTTGCTCTTCGAGAAGTGATAGTGCTTTATTTGTCAAGGTTATCAACTAATCATAGGTTTTGTTACAATCTTTATCAGAATTATCATTAATTTCGATATTATTGTGAAAAATCACAGATTCTAATTGTGTCTTTATATGATTTTGGTTGCATTCAGTTAAAAATGAAGGTTGATAGTTTTTTTTAACATGATCAAAAAATTCAGGAGAAATTGGTTCTTTCTGTTGAACCAAATGCTTGCAGATATCAAATTAACTAGTTAAATAATATGGATATCCACATATCTATTAATTTATATTTATTGATTAATAGTGCGTGTTGATAGTAATTTTTATTTTGATTTGAATTGTTTTATCCATTCTGATTTTTCTTTTTCAGCTATTATTTGCTGTAGCTTTTATAGTTGATGAGAAATTACTTTTGACAAGATCATATATATTACTAAATCTAAGCATGATTAAAAGAATTTATAAAGAAAATCTCTCTTTATAACCTTTTAATGCTTTTTTACAAATATGGTGGTTTTGAAAATTGATATTTTGTCTTGACAGGTAGATCTTGTTTATAGATGTTATTATTGTTTATTATACCACTCACATCAAAGATAATACCAAAGTAAAATTAGTGATTTTTTTTTACAAAAAGTGTATACCTCTTGAATAGCTATATTGATTTACTATTAATGAACTAGCCATTATTTGTAGAAATTAATGAATATTAATGATAATGTTTTCTATCATTCTTCAGACTAATTTTTAATATTCTTTAGGACAGAACTTAAATAATTATACAATATCATCAAACAGAAAACAGGTGCTGAATTCAGATAACAGATTAAATGAGGAACTTTTGAGTTTTTTATTGCTTGCTAATTATGTCATTATAGTCTTTTAATATATCACTTGTATAATTAGATTTTAATTCTAGATCAGGTAAAGCATGTAATATAATTTATAAAAGTCTTTATCTATAAGTAAAAGTTCTAAATTAATTTTTTCATAATGTAGCTTTATAAGAAAGGTCTGAATAATAGCAGTATATATTCTTTTACTACATCTTCTATCATTTTCAAAAAACATATAAGCTAATGGTATCTCTATGCTTTTTATTTTAGCTTGGACACAATAGAGTTTTATTTTGAAATTATTGATATTATCTGAAATTATATTAAATATAATATTAATTTTATAAATTTTGTACTTTAATTTAATTATAATTACAGAAAAACCTTTCTAAATACATTTATCTGGTACAAATTTTCTAAATATGTACCATTGGTCACTGCTTACAGTACTCGGGATCTTATTCAAAAACATTATTTTTAAAATTAAATAGTACCGAGTACTATTCACAAATCTGGTGATCTCATTGGTGAAAGAGGGTACTTCATGTAGTAAGATACTATTTTTTGAGAATACTGTAAGCAGTAACAAATAGTAATTAAAGAACAATAAGAAAATTTGCATTTAGAATATCAAATATATACTTCAACTAAAATTTATTAATACATTTTTGAAGGTAATGTATTTAAGAAGGTTTTTTTGTAACTTGTAATATAAAATTTGGGTATTACTTACAAGTAGCATCAATGTTATATTCCTAAATATTAATATCTAGTACTATTAGATAATTATAAAGCTTTGTCTTGAAGGTTAAAACATGAACTGAGTTGGTTTCTTCTAATAATATTATATGTTTACCTTCTTTGAGCCATAGTATTGCAGATGTAAATGTATTATTTTTGGTTTATATCTATTTTGATCTAGTTCAAACTACCAGAAATGAATTTGTTTTTGCCAAATTAGAGAATTCATACTACTATCAACAAGCTATGCATATATTTCTCATAGCAGCAGATTAATGTTTTCTTTAATAAATTGTTTGATACTCTGGGGTATAGTTATATCTTTTAGATGCTCATATATCAACTTATGCTTTAATATTAATTTAGCAATATTAGTTGATTGGTTAAGAGTGATTTTAATAGCACTATAGCAATCAAATCGCTTTATTGATTGTGTATTATGATGCTTTAAAGAATCATCATATTTTTTTTGGTTTAACTGCCAAAATACTTAATTGTAAGTAGTAATACTACAGGGGAGTACCATATTATTGTGGACACTTTTTAAAAATTTATATAGAGCTAAATAGTATATTAATTAGCAACCTGTTTAAGCATTATATGGAGATTTTCAACTTTCTGAAAATTTGTTTTTTTACA